TGGCCCCCCCTGGGGAGCAGCCGCAGCAGGGAGCTGTCACAGGGGACCCGTGAGGGGAAAATCACTTGGCCTCTGTCTCCTGCTCGCTTCTGTAAGGAAGATCGGGCTTCATTCATTTCAGCATCCTCGCTCCCCCGCCCCGCTGCCTTCTGCCCCCCGTGATCGTTAGCGAACGGGTGAAATGGTGGCTCTACCTGACATGGCCCCCCCTGGGGAGCAGCCGCAGCAGGGAGCTGTCACAGGGGACCCGTGAGGGGAAAATCACTTGGCCTCTGTCTCCTGCTCGCTTCTGTAAGGAAGATCGGGCTTCATTCATTTCAGCATCCTCGCTCCCCCGCCCCGCTGCCTTCTGCCCCCCGTGATCGTTAGCGAACGGGTGAAATGGTGGCTCTACCTGACAGGGGAGTGAAGGCTGAGCGATGGACAGGGGAAGTGCTTCTAAACTTCCCGTTTTAAAAACTCCTGATTTTTGGTTCTTGTTAACTCCCGTGTTTCCCTTCAGTGACTATTATTTACAGCAAGTCTTTGCTACATTTCTAACATTGCTTTTAACTGAGGGATGTCCGTGCTGGGAATCATCCATGGTACCTCTCCAAGGAACCCCTGCAAAACCCAAGACGGCACTTGACATTTCTGATAGGTCTAAAGTAAAACAAGCAAGGGAGTGGAGCGGAAACATATAAACAGGCACAAGACCAATTTTTAAAATAATTCTGTATAGGTTACCTTTTATGATGCACAGCTTGCAATAATATTTTAGTCTGAATGTGGTTGCAAGTAAACTTACAATTTACTGTTAGTGCAAGAGTGACTGTACATCTGACTGTTCCATATGTGGTCAGTTTCACAAATTCCTCTTGTTTTGAGTCTTTTGCATAGCAATAGAAGAGAGGTTTTTGCTATTATGAAACCTCAAAAGGTAAAGTTTTTCATCAGAATTCCTTTGTTGTTTTTTAAAATATTTGATTGTGTTTAAAGTTGATTATGTACCTTTATTAATGGTTGTCCAGCCCATGAGTGGTGATATTAACATTTTGCTGTTCTGGTTCTTGAGAGTTGAAATAATAAAACCTATTCAAGGGATATTTTGAAAGAGAAAACATGCTTTTTAAAGGGATTGTCAAATTACAAGCTGGTGAATTTTAAATGTTGTCCTTTGAATTTACATCTCTGACTAGTCCCCACCCCTTTTTATGCAAGATAAGCATTGGTTTCCATTAAGTACTTTCTGTAGCTTATTCTTGATCTATTATTTGGATTTATAGGTATCATATTATGGTTATGAAAGCTTCAATAGAAGATGATGATTCAGGATGGGAGCTCAGTTTACCTGACAAGATGGAAAAGAGTAATACAAACTGGATAGATATTACCCAGGATTTTGAAGAGGCTTGTAGAGGTAAATTGTATTTCTCAGACTTTCAAGGATTCCATTTTTTAAGAGGGCCAAACACAATTCCTGAAACTGCCTCAGGCCCCACTTCTGCAATGAACTTTGAGTGTAGGTCCTCCTTGACTTTATGGAAGTATGTAGATTCAAGAGTGAGTCTGTGTCAAGATTATAATACAATTGGGGTCCGTGAGATTAGCAACCTACTTCACAGAATTAAAACCTTCACCCGTGTGTTTGACTGCTTTCCTCCTAATGGTTTTTCTCATTCTGTAGTTTACTGTTAACCATTCCTCCTCCAACCCCTGTCCTCTTCTTGATGGGAAATCTAGTTTATCCATACTTAACCTGCTTTCTGTTTTCCTGGAACTGCCACATTTTTCTAGATTGAAAAAATCTAGCCCTGTATCCTATAAATTGACTGTCCAATGCTAATTTTTATTCATTTATGCACTTGAAACAAAACGGATACGTTTCTCATGGGAGGTACTACATTCAGGTTATTTGGTAACAAAGACCTTCAGTTACTGTAAGATTGATATTCACTGTTTGCCTTGTGTATAATTTTTAAACTGACTCTTGCTGCAACATTAAATAAAAAATAACACAACTGCAACTTTCCACCAGTATATTACACACATTATTTTACATGCACCAGATGAGAATTTCCTTATATTCATCAAGAGGGTTCCTTGGATACTGTGTTAGATCAATTTAAATGCCCTTTGAATTGGTGGAATGGCACAAAGAAGGTGCCTTCAGTGACAGCATTGAGAAATTGCTGTCACATTCCACAGTAACTGTGCCTATATTCCCACTCTTAGTTCACCAGTGGGCACTTCGAGCTTCCTGACTGGGATATTAGAGCTGCAAGCTCCCTGGCTTACACTGCTATTCCCAGCAGGCCAGACTGTCTAAACAGGCCAGCATCTGCACTGTGCTTTCTTTCTACTGTCTAGGAATAGTATAATTGCCATCAGTTAACAAGTTACCACACAACTTTTTCTGAACAAGCACATGTATTGTTAAGGTAAAACCACTGCAATGAAAACATACTAAAATATTAAAAGAACTTACATGCATGCTAAACAGCTTACAAGAAGTCACCCTGACTCCAACCTCTGGCTTTAGTAGGTCAGTATTTGAAACTCACAGCTGAATTTTCTCCATGGTTACAAGTTCATAACTATCTCACTCTTAAACAGAACACAGACCAAGCAAGTCAGGCCTGTTTCTTTATACAGTTCAGGCCTTTGAACTCCAACCTCAAGGAGCAAGGAATTCAGCAATCACCCTCAGCATTTGTTTTTACATAATGGGATGGAAGAATGTACTCTAACCCATGTTAGAATGTACAGTGTTTCTCAACCTTTTTTTTATAAAGTACGCCCTTTAAAAAAATAGTAAGTAGCCCGAGTACCTACAGTTTTCAGATACACAATATTTTTTTCTACCATTGCAACACATTTGTTTAAACAACTTAATCGTAGCCGGGCAGGTGATGAAATTTTTGGGTGTAAAAAGTAGAAAAATAATAAAGCACTGTAAAACTTAAAACACAAATTCAATTTTCTCCAAATTTCGGTTGTGTTGATGTACCTCCCAGACTTCAATTGAGTACCCCTAAGGGTACTCTACCACTGGTTAAGAATTGAGTATCCCTAAGGGTACTCTACCACTGGTTAAGAAACACTGCTCTAACCTCTCCTTAGGCATTTCCCTGGAAATGCACTTGCTGTCCTCAAAGTCCATTTTTGTCTTGCACATTTTCAGTATAGTCCTGTGGACTCCCAGATCTCTCACATCATCATATCTGTTCCCTAGAGAGGTTACATACAATCGTGGTAACAATTATATATGAATTTTGAATTTAGTGCAATATATCCCCAAGTTACTTACAATTAATTCAATAAGGCTTTATAAAGATATTGCAGGAAATTGTCATATCTGTCTATGACACTTCCCTTGGGCATCCAAGTTGTGAGGCACCTTACTACCACCTGTCTTTAGCATGTGGAAGTCTTGTCTGTGCCTTGTGTTGTTCAGGTCCCTGACTTTACCAGCCTCTAGCAACACAAAGCACTGTCCCTCAAGTCTCTGCAGGCCTTGCTGTCTCTGTACAGCAGAAGACGGGAGCCTTTTTTGGGTTGGGGGTAACAGCCCACAGAAAAATCAGCCGGGGGGATTCCCAACCATTGAAGTGGTGGAGCCTGCAAGCGTTGTAAGGATGGAGCTTCCCTGCACTCCACTTCCCAACCCAGAGCTGCTTCCTTCCCCTGCCAACCAAAGCCTGTGGATCTGGTCAGTGAGGCTCCCAGCCTCCCCGCCCCCAGCAGTGAGAATCCAGCACTGACACGCCAGCGGTGCTCCCACGTGGCTGGAGTATGCCCTTCTGTGGGAGGCAGGGAAGAAGGAAAGCGCCTTGTGGACCAGATCAAGGCAATTTGGCCCACAAAGCCGTAGGTTCTCCACTTCTGTCGTACAGTTTAGTGATAGCCACATACCAACGTCCAAGTCCTATAAATGTTCTTCTGGAGTGCCCAGCCCTAGTTAGGGATGTAAGCGACTAATCGACTATTCAACTATCTGCTAAGCAAAAGCTTATCGGATAGTTGACACACTAGTTGCTTCCCTCCCCTTGCTGCCTCTATCACAAAGAGGCAGCAAGTGGTGGGGGAGCTGGCTTAAAAGCCGGTTTCTCCCGCAGCTCCAGCTCCGTGGGAGGGGATAAGAGTGTAGTGGTTGAGCTCCAACTCTGAAATGTACAAGAGTCCCAGCAGGCCCCAGGCTTCATGCAGAATTTCAAAGGGGAATGCCCTAGCCCTTATTGACTAATCAAATAGTCGATGGAAATTCCATCAATTATTCAATCACCTTATTAATTGAAATTTAACATCCCTAGCCCTGTTTTTGCTGTAAACTCACAGACCTGTCAAAATCTTATTTCCAATGAAATACTATGCACCACCTTAAAAGATTGCTAGCATTTTCAGTTAAATATGGCTGAGATCCCCTTTTAATAAAATCAAGCTTACTGGCAACTTTTCAGTTCACAGATTGAAAAATGCCAGAACACTTCTTTGCTCCTGCAGGTAAACTAGACTGGATCTTTGATTTTCTCCTGAAAAACTGTTTACCTTTTCTTTTTAAAGGAGGTTAAATGTTCCCTCTAATCTCTTCCATCCGCGTGCAGATTTTTTCACCCATGTGCAGAATAAATTTTATATGCACAGAAGCATGCGTGAATGTGCACCATCAATAGAAACACAGAATCTAGCTGTAAGTGCTCTGCTAATCAGCTGGACAGCATTTGAATCTCTCTCAAGCAATAGCAAAAGCGCACAGCTTACAGGGAACATTGCTGCCATATCTTTATTAGCATTTGCCTCTGTGTGCTAATAGATTTCTACTGTGAGACACTCAAAGGTTCACCAAGGAGATGTCTCCCTCCTGTCTGGAGAAATCTGTCTCTGGGTACACTACCTGAGTGTTCTTTAGCTACCAGGACTAGAGACATGATTTTCAGCATATATGTATAACTCATGTTTTTTCCACACACACAATGATTATGATGACTTGTGTGACATAAGTTTTTATTAGCAATCTTACGTGACATTCTTTTGGAGAATCCAGAGGTCCAATCTGTCCCTGTGCCTTCTGCCAGGTGCATTAAGAGGTCTTTGAATCACGCTTTCACATTTGGTATTATGTTTTGCCTTCAGCATCAATATACATCCAAAGATGGAGAATCCAAAGGTAGCAAAATAATGCATGACTTGCTTCTGTATCTTGCAAAACGAGGGGTCCTGTGGCATCTTCTTCTTTTGTAGTGTAAAGCCTGTTTAGCTATTCGAGTTACCTGTTTGGTTAAATATCTGTGATGAGCTGCTTTAAAATATCCAATGTCCTGATTTGTCCTGTTGTCTTCCTTGTAGAATTGAAGTTGGGAGAACTGCTTCATGACAAGCTGTGAGTATGCCACAGAGGTATAATTTTTTAGATGGGAGTAATATGGATTAGTATTTAGTGATCAACAAGACACTTGACCTTTCTGATTTTGTCCTTATACGCTATCTTTTTGTATTTGTCCTTAGCAATTCATGAATGTTTTCCACTTTCTGTGGAATTCCTTTTTGATTTTGTGGTCATTAAAGAACTCCTGATGGAGCCATATTGGTCTCTTACTAGTGTTGATATAATGATATAAATGATATAATTTAGAATAAATTATGGTTCTATTTAGTGTAAGAATGACAGAATTAATGTTTGGATTCAGCAAAGTTCTTGGACGTGTGCTTAGATCTCACTGATGTCAAAATCACTTCCATGAAAGGAGTATCACTCTTTTATCAGTCTGAGCATTTTTAACTTGTTCGAAAAATATTTTTCAGATGTTAATGCAATGTCAACAAAGATACAACATTAAAATGTATGAGAAGTTAAAAAAAACATTTTAATTAAAAAAAAAATCATTCCAGCCAGTAAAATTTAAGCACATGCGTAAATGTCTTCCTGAATAAGGATGTGTTCCTGAATCAACCTATATACAGTAAAACTCCATTGGTCCGGCATCCAGTGCTCTGGCACTCCTGATGGTCCGGCACCATAGGGAACCCAGAAGTGCTCCGGGCAGCCGGACAATTGGAGCTGCTCTGCACCCGGCTTCCCCGATTCAGCCGCTGCTGAAACTGACCAGGGGAAGTGGGGGACAGAGCAGCTGGGGGGCTGCTGGGGTGG